GATGGCCTGGTGGGAGAGAATGCTCTTATGATCCTTAACGCTATGTTTGGTTTGAAGGAAAGAGTAGGGAAAGGAAGGGAAATGTAGAAAAACCAATGCACGATTTGTAAAAATTTCCCTTCCTTTCCCTACTTTTTCCTTCAAAACAAACATAACCTAAGTGATGGCCTGGTGCCAATCGAGTGGTGGCTCAATTGGCATGTAACCGGGTAAGTCCCAGACGAGATGCAGTTTCGAGCCCTGCTACTAACGGCTCTAACAAAAAAAAAAGTGATGGTAGGGTGAGATTAAGGTTTGTTCATTTCTGGCTCAGACCCGCTTCACCCATCCCGGCCCAATGCTGAAGCTTGGCTAGGCATGGTCCGGGTCCGGGCCATGATTATTTCTTAGTACGTAGCAAGTGGAAATAAATAGGTATGGGCCAGACATGGTAGGTCCCAATTTGCGTGTTGACATGTTGAAGATTCCTGTACTCTAGCTAGTGTGCCTTTACTGCCCCTCTACGAAACAACAGAGAAGGGAAGAGGATCTGCTTTCACACGCATATCCTATCATGCACTGAGAACATGCGCCTCACATGCATGTTCTCGATGCATGGTGATTATACCTATGAGGCGCCCATTTGTGAGGAACAGATCCCGTCACTACTTCAGTCCGAGTTAATATCTCCTTCCTTCCAACATAAAAACGCGTACAGCGGTACAGGGAGTGCGGACACAGATCATGTTAGAACGCGTTGGGACGATTTCTTATGTTGAGAGGAGATTCGACCTATTTTATTCCTGATCCTGACAGCCCAATTGTTTTGGATTGCGTCGTTTTCAGACGCGTTTTCGTTTTACCATGTTTCAATCCATTCTTAATCAATCAACCCAACACTGGACCATTTGGTGGGGTTGTGATAATCACAGTCACAGTCATAGGCAGATGATGTTTTTGTCTTAGATTTTAGAGTTGCATCCGTTACAAGTTAAAATCTAACAAGCGGATTGGATCGTTGTTAGAGGTGAGCCTATTTTTTAAATCGAACCGATATCATGGATTTTGGGAAAACCGTAAATCAAAATTAAACCAAAGCCAATCAATTAATCTATTGAGAAATATTAAAAATACATATAATATATTATATTATATATTATAAATATATATCTACATATAATCTATATATATATGAAAAACATATATACCAGCCGGTTTGATTAATCGTCAATTTTTTATATTGATTAACCAAAACCAAATCAATACCTTCAGTTTGTCAAAAATAGAAAATCAAACTAAATCAACTGGTTTGGTTAACCAGAATTTTTGTTTCGGGTTCATTGATTCAATTTGACTTTTTGATTTTTCAGTTTTTTAATCTCCCCTAATTGTTATAAGTCAGAGAGACTACCAACTGAGACACATGTGACTGTGCAATATATAGATTTCAATCACTGATAATTACAACTTAAATGAAGCAAATATTTAGGTGAAATTCAATTCCAAGTCTCCACTGTAATCAGTACCAGTGAGACCTTACCAACAAGTTAATTTGCAGCTTGCATTTTGGATTGGATTGAGTTCATATTTTTCAACCCTAACCCTAATCCTAACTCGAACTTCAATTTCAGGAATCGGGTTTAAACAACTGGTCTAAGTTATACCCCTAAATTTAATACAAATTGAAATATCAAATTATTTAGGAATCATACCTATTATTCATATTTTGTGAGGCTTCATCTCTCCAGCTAAATCAATCCATTAATTTCAAGGAACCAGGCATGGGTGGTCAACGATCAACATCGTTTTTTTGTACCGATTACCCCCCAACCCCTAGTGGCAGTGTAATTCAATTCCAAGTCTCCACTGGAACAAACCTGCAACAATACCAACTGAGCCCCATCAGTTGATAATCAACATCTAATTGGAAATTTGGAAAACCTCTTGAACATTCAGGAATACAACCGATTTCAACTTGGAACGACCCCTTCTCTTTCATTGCCTCAGGAATACAAATTGAAATTCTCAGCCAGCCATTCAAAATCTCAAACTCGGTACCAACAAAGCAAGCAAAATTGTTTTTAAATCATTAATTATATGTTTTTCACAGACTCCTTACAACAATATCACTCACTGTGTACGTATCTATACTTTAAACCATGGTTCTAACACTTTGTTCTGAATTGTCACCCTTTATCAAAAGAATGAGATTGTCCAAAGTCACATCAGTGAGTGAAATCAATGAGTTCCTAAAGTTGAAAGCCTGCTTCCGCAACAGTAAGCGAAGACTTGGGCAAAACCATCCAAAAGTCTTTGGCTCCACAAATGGAAAACCGTGAGGCGATGGGAATAACAGAGGAGAAGCAATCAAAAGTAATTGGTTGAACGTATCAGTCATAAACATTTTCTATGTGAATTCTCTTTTACTCAAAAAATATGTAAGCACAGTCCAATCCCTTGACAGTCGTACATTACACCTTTGGCAACTCAGAAACCATCAGTCCAAGTCAATCTGAAAGATGTTGGAAACTCTTGTGTCACGTTTCCACCCTTAACCCTTTGGCTGTGTTTGGTTTGGTAGTAAATAAGTGAGAAGCAGAAAGTTCAGGGAAAGTTCTTATGGAATCTTGTGACAGAGGAATAGGGAAAGTTCTTTTTTTTCTGGGTTTTATGGGTGTTAAGCCCATTTCCTGTGGGTCATCTTAAATTGGACCATTTCTTGGGCCATCTTTATCTCTGTACCTAGTACACCATGGGCTGAGGCGCTGAGTTCGAGTAGGAGAGTGGCTGGACTAGTTAACATGCATGACTCCAGTGTTCTTACTTCCTAGCTTGCCATGCAGCAAATACGTTTAGAGGCAAAAAGAAGGATTCAAGTTATCGAATGGAATCCTTAAATTGATGAGAACAAGGATGTACATTACCATATTGATTGATTTAGTGGGTCTAGAACGGACTGTAGACTGTGGAGTTTGGAATTGGGGTGCAACTTGGGCGGGCCAACCAAAGCCTGGACCAACTCAGTAGTGATACATATATGCATACATGTATATTCATGCATACATAGACACACACACGCACACCCATATACATATACATACATGCTTATTTGCAAAAAACAAAAATCCTATTCAAAGGCTTAAATTAGTGATACTAAATAGGTTATACTTCTTAGAACATTAGGCCCAACAACTAACAAGGCCACTTAAGCCCAATTAACAAACCAAAGCCTAACCCAAGTATGTCAATTTTAAGTTCGCGCTGGATCTAGATTTGAATTTGGAAAGATCAGGCTTGACTTCGGGCTCAATCCAATCATGGGCCTAAACCCAATTTTTAGGATTGGGCCTGGTTTGACCTTAAACCCATCCCTACCCGCCCGACTTGCACTTGCACCCATAGGAATTGTCTCCTCAGTGCATGCTTTGGCCTTCTATGGGGATGGGCATAAAAGCCCATAGTCTCTGTGAACCCACATCGCTATCCCTGAAATCGACAATCAACTCAACCGACGTTCAAAACCCATTTACGGATTAGGATGGCAAAGAATCAGATTAAACACATGTATGTACACAGACCGACGTATGTAGCAACAGAACAAGAGCAGTTGATTAGGCTTTGATGGAAAGAATTTGATCATGGAAATATTGAATTCAGTAGCCCAAATCTTTCGAGAGCCACGTAGAAGCGTGCAAGGCACAGCAAAAACTGCAAAGTCAACCACTTACGAGATTTGTAAGCATCGCCACTTTCATCGGGAGAGTGCAGTAATCGTTGAATTTGTTGCTGATGGTAGACGAACGAACACGTCTATAAGATTTCTGGTGGAATGAAATGATTTCATATTGGCTTTTCATTGCCTTTAAGAACACAGATCCATCATCTAAAACTAAAACCGAAACGGAACCATTTAAAAGAGGTGGTGGTTTCAGGATTCCTGTACCAAGTGCCTAACTTTCATATTTCAATATAACTGGAGTCTGAGACTGAAAGTTCCATTTTAGACGAGGACACCGAGAGTTCTCCATCACCGCACAGGCACAGGTGTTCCCTCTAAAACCGACTACGGATCACCCTGCCAACAAAATATGTTCCAACAGCCTTCAAACAACATTTGACACCACATATCTTTGGTGGGCCCCAATTTTATAGAGAGATACGCGGTGTCAGATCAAGATAGTAGGTAGGGTGTTTTGCTGTCAGGTGATCCAAAGTCCTAAAACCAAGCCGTCACCTGCCGATTCATGACATCTGCTGTAACGACGGCCCAAGAAGTAATGCTGGTGGGTGGGGGATTGGCGAGGAAGTAGGGATGAAATGCCAAGACGTCAAGATGCATTCAAGGGCATTTTACAATTTTGACAACCAGCCCACTTTCAAGAAATGTTGATCAAATGGAAGGTCATGGTCATATTATAGAAGTTTTAACCTTTAACCTTGTTAACCTTTTTTTTTCATTTTAATTTGTTGCTTAAGCATGATGCTTTTGCTCCAGAAGGGACCCATTGACATTTTGTTGCCCAGTGCAATTTGGGGTTCTAAAGATATTCAGTGGGTTTACTAGAATACATTAGTTCGACCTGCATTTCTTTCATGGATTGATTCTCCACAGAAACCCTATTAACAATGTGCTTGAGGCAGCCCCTCCTACAGGTTTCCATCATATGGTTTATTGGTCCCCTCCAGTAAGGGCCGTAAGGCTCAGTGTGGGAAGAGTGTAAATAGAAAATGTTCAGTGCAAGAGATGATGAACCTTATATTTGCACTCTTTTAGGCTTAGTTTGAAAGGAGTACAAAACCTTATATTTTGTATGTATTTGTACTGTACATATTAGTATTTATAGTCCTTCCAAACTGAGCCTTAAGGAAATATATCAGTTAACGATATTCCCAATGAAGCACAAGTGCCCATGATGCTGCACTCGGCACTGGCAGTAATAAGTACACGTTCGACACAAAAACAAGGTCTAATCCTGCAACATCAGCTTATTCTGATTGTAGTAGACACGGCTTTGAGAAGATTCTGAGTCATAAATGAAGTGTTTTAATGGAAAAAACTTTTGGTTCTCACTTCTTTTGCCATCGGGGGCCTGAGAGTATTTAGGTGTTAAAAAAGGCATCCTGCAATGGTCCAAAGCAGAGACAAGTAACACTAAATAAGTTCACAAGCTAATCATTGGTAGCACCAGTAGAAGATAATAGTGCACAAGGAGGGGATCAAGGGCAACATTATGCTAAGGGGAAAAATTGGTTTTGCATCTTTCAGAGATTAAAGTACTCCCCTCTATACCCTTTCCCTGCATTGGACAGGAGTGAACATTCATTCTTTGATTAGCATTGCAGTAACCTCTGGCATCTCCTTCATGTATACCAACTTCTCACACTTTAGCACCAAGGAATGACTGCAAAAGAACATCTATGTTACAAAGAGAGCCTGCCAGTAAAATATATCACATTTCCCATCAAATATGGGGTAAAAGTAAAAATTAACAATACTTTTAAATGACAAGTCAGGGTCCCCCTGTTATATGACAGCAATCCAAAGAATTAGGTGACGAATCACTTAAAGGATTTTTTTTTAACAAAAAAGTTAACAGTGAGACCCATCCACCCATTTTTGCTGTTTACATTCACTTTTCAGATAGCTTTGAAAAGGAAATAACTACCATTTAAAAAGAGAGCTATTCAAATAAAGGGTCACGACTATGGTACTGGAAGACATGATAATGGAAAAACTTATAACCAATCAACTGGTATTATAATAGTAATAAATCAAGAGGTACTCACCAAAATTCATGGGAGGGTTTTGAATTTGATGGTCAAAGTTCTTTCAGTATCTTACCTTCCTGGCATCATAGATTTAGCTTCGAATAAAAAAAAAAATCTTGCTGTGTCCCACCCACTTTCTAAGGTAAACTGATAGGTTATTTTAGATTTTCTTAAGAAAATTTCAGCATTTTCTCACAATCTATCACTCTTTTTGGACAACCAAATACATGCAGGTCTTGTTTTCACAAGTACTTCTAAGTACTTATTTTAACAACCACTTAAGGCTGTTTGGTAACCCACTTTTCAAATCACTTATTTGTTTTTAAGCACTTATTGGGGTGAGAATGTTTGGTAAGCTACTTTCCCCATAAGTGCTTACATTGACACAAATGACAATTTTAGCCCTTACTTCACTCATACATCATAATAATAATAATAACTAATTATAATAGGGGAAGATGACAGAGAGCAAGTCTCCAAGCTGACGCAACCCAATGATCCAATTGGGTTTCTTCAGATTATCAATGACCGGCTGAAGCAACCCAATGATCCAATTCTCAATACCAGATCTGTACACCTTCCACAGTTTTCCGAGAACCATGTTCACCCATTTCACACTCTTTTCTTTGTAAATCCTTCTCGAGGAACAAAGAAAAGCTTGTAAGCACCTGTGGTCAAATACCAGTCCGAGCATCAAGGCTCTTGTTTATTTCTCTTCCTTGATGTCCACAGCTTATCAAAGACAACCCCAACAAAGAAAAAAGAAGACAAAAAGACCCACCACATTCCTACTGATTGGAGGAGAGGGAATGGGGTGGATTACTCCTAGATGAGTCGTGAGTTTATCAACCATAGGATCTTCCTGGAAGCTAGTAAAACTCGACGCCATTTGAATATGCTCCGGAGCAAGTTCTCCATGGTCTAATTCATCTGCAAATCGCTTAGCAACCAAGACTTTTGCGCCCCGCCTTGCTGAATTGCAAAACTCAATACTCAGATTCGGATTTCGACCATCGGTTGAAGGAAGCATACATGCTCTACAAATCCATCTTCTTCGAGAAACCTTACTGGAGACAATTCCAAGAAATATTTTTTTCCCACAGCACCCAATTAACCGGGAATTCCTTACATTTCCACCTCCACTCCTAACCCCAATTCTATCAATCTTACGAGGATAAACGGAAGGTGAAACCCAAACAAGACGCGAGACAACCCAGCTCGCAAAAGCAAATTGCAAGATCATTTAAACCTTTGAAACTCAGAGACCCAAATCTAGAAGGGGGCTCTGCAATTCATACGAAGTAAACAGGTAAACATGAATCCAAAGCCAGATCGACTGGCAAGGGAGGGGAGGAAGGAAGATGACGAAGTTGAAGCCGTGATGCATCAGATTGGGGAGTGGGGACAAGTCAGGGAAGAAGATGATGAACAATGATTTTTGGGCGCAGGGGTATTTTAGGCATTATAGAAATTTATCAGGGACTGGTTCGTCCTATTTTTTTGGAGAAGTACTTCTTCAAAAAGTTTAAAAAAAGCCAACTTGAAGTCACTTTTTCAAAGAAGTACTTTAAAAAAAGTACTTCACTTTTTTACCAAACACCCATAAGTACTTAAAAACCACTTAATGTGTGGTCCCATGTCTTAAAAGAAGTACTTGTTTTACTTCTTTTAAGTGTTCTCAAACAGGACCGCAGTCATGTTCATTTCAAAAAAGAGTTTGGCTACAATGCTGGAAAGACATCATGCTGGAAAAACTTATAGCCAATGAACCAGCATATAAAACTGGTAGCCAATCTGGAAGGTTCTTGTCAAAATTCACGGGGGGTTCGATTGGTCAAAGGCTCAAAGACCTCCCAGTATTATGCCTTTAAGAACAGATTAACTGTCTTAACAGAATTAACTATCTTACCAGTGGAAATGACGTTAAATAGAACAGATTGGAGAAACAAGATTCATGTAGTCAACCCCATAAGTTGGGATAAGGCATGGGTGAGTTGATGATGTCGATCATCATCATCATAAATTTGAAAAGGAATCTAAAGAACACAGTAATAGCATATCTAATTGTGACACACATGCAGAACAATATGTCAAAATGCATTAAAATTCAATTGTTGTTTACACCAGTTTTAGATTTCTGATTGAAAAAAAAAAAAATGAAGCTACTGAAGAGGCTTGTCCAGAGAACCATGTAACCAAATTTGGCTCTCTGAATACTTTTTACCAAACATTGCTTAGAGGCTTTCAATGTCAGCCCCAAACGGGCACATGGTTGTTTGAACCAACATGTTACATTCACAACACATGAAATTCAATTTTTTTTTTTTGATAGATAAATGAAATTCAAAATTTTGATCATAATATGAAATTTTTCCAAGAAAATCTCTAAATTTTAAATTACATAGAATAAACAACTATGCAGTATGACCACAACAGATGCATCTCACGATTCTCACCAGGGAATTTATGCAATGGGCCACACCATGCATGTTCCATTTAGTAGGATGTAAATTGTGGTACACCACCTAAGCAGTCCTATGGAAACAACAAAGAAAATGGAAAGGCCCTTTCCAAGATTTCAAAGAGGGGGGGGCAAAACAAAATGTTAAAGAAATATGCATTTGTTCAACCCCTTTATTAGCCATATTCTACAGATAATCGTTATACAATGAATTGAAAGTGTATATAGTTTATTCCATCATTTTGTATAGTTCTATCCTAGATTCAAACTCCACAATTTTTAAGTGTTTATGTTGAAGCTGAAGTTAAAAACATTCATTTCAAAACATGTTTTTCATATTAGGTGGTGATTGGGGGCCAAATGTTCCGCCACCTTGTTACCTGCCAAGGTTCAGAAACATCTGTATTTGAAAGTATAGAACTCACATTGTTTTTTTTCTCAGTTCTTTAAATACAGAATTCTATGACAAATGTGGATATGTTTAGATTTGGATCTAGCCTTCCTATGAAAACACATTATAATAGCAACAGGATCAATCCAGTTTGTATCCTTTTGAAAGTAAACCTGTAATGTGTACTAGACTACAAACTAAGGTAAAACCACATCTAGCTGCTTTTTCTCCCATGGTTCTGGTTGTATTTTTTTTATATATATCTGAACATAATGGTTTATGAAATTTAATAGACAGCATGTGGACCAGTCTAGCACAATATGACAAGTACAGAAAAAGCAATGTTTTTTAATAAATTATAATCTGAGTATTCCTAGACAGTGAATCTTATCTGAAATGCATGAAGTACCAAAAATGGATAGACCTGCTGAATTGCCCAATCATAATATGCATCCTACGTGTGACCATTCCATCATTCGCCTATATTCATATAGCATTTAGACTTGGATGTCAACAGAATCAGGCTCAGTATGGAACTGACTCAACCCAACCTGACTCAAAATCACTCTGACCCAAACCAGACCTAACCCAACCAATGAAATAGGATTCCCAAATCCAGCCCACCCCATCCCGTGAACATTACCCCAGTTCTTAGTGAAGGCTATATTTACAATGTTTTCAATACCACTATATCAACAGGTCGGTGTCAATCTGACCCCAATCAGAAACCCGGTTAAGATTGGCACAAAGCCACAAACCTGATCCAATAGGGTTAGTCAATGCAGGTTTACCATTAAACCTGGTCCACTGACATCTGTTTCAAAATAAACCATTTTTACACACAAATTGTTCAAAAATATAGGTTTTAATTCCTTTTTTGAAAATGATAATATTTTTTAAAGCAGGGTATGGGGGTATAGTACTGAAAGAGCAGTTTTGTATAGTCCCTGTATACATGATGCCTCTTTTGATAATTAATATAGTTATACTTCACCTTCTCTCAAAAAAATGTCAGTTCTTCCACATATTACAGTTGACATAGGTTAACATAGGCTATAGGACAACTGTGTTTTAACACTGGGAGATATACATACCACATGCATGTAAATGTGTGTAGATGCATATGCATGTGTGTTTAAGTTTGCATAACTATCAAAATATATGTATGCATGTGTTTATAATCTAAGTATATGTAAGGAGTTAATATATCCAGGCATAGTTGTCAAGGCGACTAGGCGAGTTGGTTTTTAGATATGCAGCTGGTTTTTTTTTTCCATATAAACTTGTATTGTGCAGCGGAATTGCAAATGCAGGTTCCAAAAATTTTAAGTGTCTAATTTACAAATATCAGTTGCATGCGATTATCTAGTAGGAAAGTACTGATGCCACATGAATTATTATCTATTTCCGAAGAAGTATATTTCCTCCAGCATAACTGTAACACAAGCACAGAATTAGCACCTATACTGCATATTCTCCACATTAGTTTCCACCAACCAAATTAGGTTAACAATATATAATTCAAATTGGTAAGAATTTACTTACATTATCTAAAAGAAAGGCTAATAATTTCAAGACATTGTAAAGGATATTGATGAATGATGATGGAATTAAAAGACACATTCAGAATCCCTTGTGTGCACTCATGTCATTTTGTACTGGAATACCTTTCAAGTTTCAACCTATTCAACATTGAACAGTCTCAATAGAAATTTTGGCCCATATTGCATCTCAAAAATGAATACATGATTCAATTTATAAAATTATGACCAGAGGCATGTCTTTTTTTCCCTTTCAAAGGTGAGACAATACAATCAACTATCAAATGAACAGAAAAACTTAACAGATGCAAGAAATTGCCTCAGTATTTATCTTTAGTCTCATTAACAAAGAAGATTTCTGGGTGACCTCAGCTGGTACTTTGGCTTCAAGAGGGGTATTAAGGATATTGAAACACCTGAGGCTCTATGCTTCAGAATGTTCTTGAAGGGGTTATTCTAAATTGTTCCCATCAAGATCGCTAAATTTGGGTGGCCTACCACTCGATTTTTCTTCACACACCTCCTTCCATACCCTTTTACCGTATCCTGACACATTGCAGCCATTCCCAGAGAAATAAATTTTGAGTTGGCCGGTGCCTCCTAAAATTAAGGTTTTTGTTGGGAGATTTTCCATTTGATAATGAACACTTGTGATAATTTGGAGAAGACATAATTGGTGTCTCTTCTCAGGCCCTCTTTATTTGGCAAGTGGTGAGACTGTTTTTCATTTATTAATCTCCTGTGAATTTTCCTCCAGCATTTGGGTTAGGTTCGGTTCTCTTTTGGGATTCAGGTGATCTCCAAATAATGTGGCAGGACTTTTCAGCTCATCCTTGTTGCTTAGGAGGGGTAAGATATTGTGGAAGTGTACTAGGATGCTATACTGAGGATTCTATGGAAGAAGAGGAATGGGAGCATTTTCAAAGGAAAGACAAGAACCAAATAGAACTATAGGAAATTACGCAACCAAGGTGATCCACTGGATCAAAACTATAGAGTATAGACCAATTTGCTCCATTTTCCATGGATGACATTATGACAGTATGGGTCTTTAGTTTATGGTTGCTAGAAAAAGCAGTCAAGCTTGTTGGACTTCAGCAGGGGGTCTCCAGTTAAAACTGAATTTTGATGGGTGTAGCATCAGAAACCAGGGACCTTCAGGTGGGGCATTAGAGATGAGAAGGGACCATTAATAAAAGCTTGTAGCCATGTACAAATGTCAAGCACCCAATTTAAGGAGTGCTGACCCCACATAGAAATCCACAGTTCCAATGCAGCCCAAAACAGTTCTTTCCTAGATATCCCTTGTTTGGCTAAAATGTCAACCAAACAATTAGCTGATCTTATAATCCATCTAACGTTTACACCAACTCCCTTGTTAGATACCTGATTTCCCTCATGGGTTGTCTGTGGGTCCAGATTCCTAAGTAATCTGCTTCCATCCATCCAATCACCAATCCAGTGTCCCCCTCCATTTCAATCTGTTGGAAGTCCAATTGTTTAGCCAATCTCAAGCCTTAAAGGAGGCCCATCACCTCTTAGCAAGTCTCCCATCCTATTAACCCTGAGTATAAAGCAAAGATTCTTCCTCCTCCATCCCTTAAAGATCCCCCTACATCCGATGGTCTCCCGGATTATCAAGTGAAGTCCCATCAAAATTCAGTTTAATCCTTTGATGTGCAGATGGGGCCCAACTATCCTGGCAGAAGCTTAGGCGTCAAAAACTTAATAGTCAAGGACTGAAAAGTGGTGCTGGGATGGTTAAAACTAAAAGGGTGATAATCCACGTATTTGGCAGCACAAATTTGTGACAAGGGAGATAAAACAGTTGATGGGAGAGTCAGAAGCTACTGTTACTTGGCTAAAGGAAATCGCTTAGCTGACACATTGGCTAAGCAGGGGTTCAGAGGAAGCATCTATTTTGGGCTCAAATGTAATGCAAAAGTAAAGCAAATAGAAGAAAGGAAGGGGGCATTGAACAGACCGTGTTTAGAGATACAGTGGCATTTTATAAATATTACGTTCTTCCTGTTTTATAATAAAACTTTCAGTTACTGGTCAAACTAGGAAAAAAAACAGTTTCAAAAACCAAACTTGACACTGGACCTATGGATAGTCTTTCACTGCTATCTGGTTAGAATTGCCCAAAATTGTAAACAAAAAATGGTCATTTTTCAAAAAAAAAAAACTACTAGAAAATAGGATAATTATATAAAATTAAATGTCAAAGTCAAATATTTTTATATGAAATAGGGATTATCCAAGAGTTGACCAGGGATTACTTGAAGATGTCCCTAATCATTCTGGAAACTAATTGACAGTGCATGCTTTGCTTCAACTCCAAAACAAGTTAACACACTCAAAAACAAAGAAAGTTCAATCATCATATCAATATCAAAAGGTAATACACATCATGTTTCCCATCCATGAATAATAAAGTCATAAAAAGTTTAGAAACTCCAAAATATGTCAAAAATAATAAATAGGAACCAAGAAATTAAAAGCAAGAAGAAAGGAAGAATAATTCCTCATTGCAGTGCTTTAACAATCGAATTTCCATGGCATTGAGGAATACACCTCTAACATAATGTCAATTGTATTTTGAACCTCTAAGGTTGTGCACCAAGGTGTTTTCCTTGAGCTTTGCTTAAGGCACAAGTCCTAATACCTCTTTTAAAACACTTTGAAAATTTTAGAAATTGTCTTCACTGAAGGTTCAGAAAAAGATAATATACTAATACTTCAGAAAAAGAAAATTTGCAAGAATCTCTAGTATAAGGTTGCAAACAATTGAATATACCTTACAAGGAATACAGTCATATTCTCAAGATTGCTAAAATAACATTACAATATGTGCAATAATATATCACAAGTAAATCTACAGATACACTAAATATGCAGAACTACTACAGTCTACATTAAGACCTATTTTACAAATGGAATGAAGATTCTCTTCTGTCATTATGATTTATGAGAAGTCATTTTACGAACAAGATGAACGTGATAGTATGTTATGTGCAATTAATTCAAACACAAATTCTGACCATAAAGCATTTAGGTCTTGTCATATCATTGTAGAAATTATCGATTCTTATAGGGAATTGTGTGGCAGAATGTTCTCAATTGACAATAAACTTTCTGAAGATCAACAATTATATGATTTACTTCATAAATGATCAAAAGTTTAAAGATTATCAAGGCATACCAGCCAATGATTTTAAGCTCATCACATGCACCAGTAAAACCTAAGAGCATCATAACTCTGTTATTGCCTCAAAACTTCACCAGCCTAGATGGTCATGTCAATTGGTATTATTAAAATTACTGGTCAAATAGATCCCCTAGGTTTGAGGAGGTTTAGGTCACAGATAAAAGACAGATCCTCCTGAGCTCCAACTATTCCCATCATGTCCATCGCATACAATATTTCACTTCTTTGGAGTAACAAAAGTTGAATTTACCTTGACTCCTGCCGGAGTACCAGGCTTAGATGTAGTTGTGCTCCCAAAGTTGAACCTTGCTTTCTTTTCTGCAGGCTTTAGTATTTGGAAAGAGCACATTAGTGTCTCATCCACACTCATCATGGCACCTGAATTATCAAATTCCCCACAGTAATTAGGTGCTGAAAAAATTGTTACAAGTTGCCTGTTAGCAAAGAACTCATATCCATCTTCCACAACCTGACACCATCAAAGCACTAATTAGTTGAAAAGTTATAATTGCTTTGATTCTAAAAGATGACTCATAACTAAAATGGTAATGTAAACCTGGTGAGCACGACAAACTAGATCCAGATCATGCTTTTCAAGAAACTCCGAAACCTTATCAGCACCAAAGGTATATGAAACTCCTCTATCATTCATCCCCCATCCTTGAATATCCTTACTGGGGTCAGACCATAGAAGATCGCAGAGTAACCCAGTGTCTGGGACATCTGTTGGCCGTTGTAAATTTCGTATTTGATCCAAATTATGAAGGTCTGGAGAAAGTCCTCCATGCATGCAGAGAATCTTCTCATCAATTAAAGCAGCAACAGGTAGGCAGTTAAAACAGTCTGTGAACACTCTCCACAGTTTGACATTAAATCTTCGCTTACATTCATCATAAAATCCATATATGCGATTTATGGAAGCACATTCATGATTACCCCTCAGGAGAAAAAAGTTTTCTGGATATTTTATTTTATATGCAAGGAGAAGGCATATTGTCTCCAGGCTTTGTTTTCCCCGGTCAACATAATCCCCCAAGAACAAGTAATTGGCTTGAGGAGGTAATCCACCATACTCAAAAAGCCTTAGAAGATCAGAATATTGTCCGTGAATGTCACCTGAGCATAACAGAAAGATGTCAAGGAAAAAATATACAGCATTTCCTTTTTCTTACAAATAGTTACATTACATAGTTAATCTACAGAAAGTGAACATATATGTGTTTTTGTAAGTAACAACAATAGATTGCTTGCAAAAGAACATATGTTGTGGTTTAAGTAAATTGGGTCTAACCAGAGCCAACCCAAGCCCAAAACCAAGTGCAGAAGAGTGAACACTGGCCCAACTGATCCAAGCACAACGTAGGGTGCTCAAATAGACCTTCAGTTTGAGGCATTTGTTGCTTAATCCTGGCTTGGCTTGGGCTGTTTAACTTACCAAATTAAATTTTTAAGTTTTAGGGTGAACAATGAGAAAAGAACCACAACTCCTATTTTTCCCCTGAACCATCAGCAAGGTCTGATCTGAAAGATTTTTCTTTTGTAATAAATTTTTTATTTAAATAGAAAAGGCACTAGAGCATTCCAAATTCCAAATTGAAGTAGTCAAGTACTCAATTTGACATTTGGATTAATGCAACACAAGTAACAGTAATGGAGCAGCTAAAATACTATGAACCACCTGGATCACTTCAGAGAAAAATCAAAAAGAAAACTTAAGATTTTGATTTTAGAAGTACAGGAATGGGAGGGGATTTCAAGTTCTTTTTTGGGTGGGGGAAGCCATTTTCATTATCACATGTCATTGTCTCCATTGCCATGCAGTCTCCACCATCACAGATCACACTACAACCAAAAAAAACTTGAAATGCCCTCATCACCATGCAATCTCCACCATCACACTACAACCCAAAGTCCGCCTTATCTGAGATTAGTTGCTTCACTGCATTGACTAATTTCACTCTATCCTTTAAGGTCCTCCTCTCAATATTGTTGAGTTATTGCCCAACATTGATACTTCTTTGAGGGAGAACAGCCTCCTATGGAGAAGAAGAAGAAGAAGAGGGTTCAACTCTGCCTTCATTCGATATTCACTGTTCCTTTATACAAGGTCTGACAAATCATACCTAACTTGCTGATATGTATAACTACTTGCTTAAGGCAGACCTTAATGTCATAGTTTTCTTATGTAAACGTTCTTGATAGGTGCTCTCAGCCGCATGGGTCCTCCTCAAGATCCAATGGGCTTGCTGCTATCATGGGCCCAGCTTACTGGATTACGCCCTGTCACTAGTCGTGGGCCTCCATTTCTAACAACTCCCCCACCCTAGAGACTGACCTTATCGTCAAGGTCAAGATGATGATACTTTGTGAAGAGCTCATATGGCTCCCACATGGCATCATCAGGCGGGAGACCAAACTAGACCACCAAGGCTTCCTGGATTATTTTCTTCCCTAATTTACCATAGCAAAAGTTAACAATCTTCATTGGCTCTATGATGAGCCCACCATCTTCTGAGTAACTTGGTAAAGCAGTGGTGGAAGGAGTGTTGGGCCCTATGTGTTTCTTGAGTAGTGAGACATGGAATAATAGGTGGAGCTTGGAGCCTACTGTTAGATCCTAATGGTAGGCCACTGTCCCAATCTTCTCTAAGATCTCGTATGGGTCATAGAACCTGGGAGCCAACTTATGCCATCTTCTTCAAACTATTGTCTGCTACCTATAGGGCTGCAGCTTGAGATAGACCAGTTCACCTACTTGGAAGTTAACAGGCAATGTAACTTTCATGTATTCTTGGGCCTCTAAGAGGTTGGCCTTGAGGGTTCACAACACTTCATCTCATGCTAACAGTTGTTCTTCTATAAAGGTGATTGAAGTAGATCCCTTCTCATAGGGGTGAATAACAGGGGATTCTTGACCATACAGAGCGTTGACTGCCGCCATACCCATTGCCAATCGGTAAGAAGTGTTGTACCAAGATTCTGCCCAAGGAAATCAACAGACCCATTGTCGTGGCTGCTCTCCAGCGAAGCAATGCAAATAGGCCTCATAAATCTATTCACCACCTCGGTTTGTCCATCAAATTAAGGGTAATAGCTGGTGGAGTGCTACATTTTAGTCCCCCAAAGGCAAAAGCACTATTGCTAGAAGTTACTCATAGATGGTAGGTCTCTATTTTGTCAAGTACCATGAAGCTTAGCTACATCCCTTATAGGGGTGCAACTTGAGTTGACCCAAGTTAACATTTTACACTGCTTCAGCCTCAAGCTTTGTGCCAATCCCATTCAAATATCAACAAAAGTCCAACTCCATCCCAAGCCTACCCAAGTTGCACACCTAGTTCCTGATAAACATTTCCACCACCTAGGCTACAATTAAGGATGAGGAAGAGTTAAGAAATGCCCAAACTTTGTGAGCCAATCAACAACAACCATGATAACAGTCTTCCCTATAGAGGATAGTAAACTAGAAATGAAGTCCATCGATATCTACTCCAAGACCTGGCCTAGTATCAACAACGGCTGAACCGCTGAAGTAAACTGGCTGGCATTATTGCTTCATACTTCTGCTACATATGGAACAATTGGCCACAAAATCATGGATGCCATCTTCATTCCCATCCAATAGTGATTTGAAGACAGCCAATTAAGTCCATAATACACCTAAGTGTCCCCCATGGCTGAACTGTGAAAGAGCTCTAAAAGTTGAAGGATGTAGATAGATGAGTTGAGAACCACTAGACATCCCTTTACAGAGAAGAAGAGTGAGAGAGCCCAATATATTGTACCCAAGAGCTGACGCCGGGTTCGTAAGCCAACTAGTTCAGATTTGCACCAGGTCTAGATCCTTCTAGGCCTCCTTTCTAATGCTGTCTGATAAAAGGGTATATGCGCTGGATTACCAATACATGGGCCAGGTTAGGATAAGATGCCTACAGCCTTGTTAATTGGGCTGGGTTTATATTCAATGAGGTAATCATCACCCAACAACTTTAAAAATCCATTTTTGTTGCTCCTCCATGTGGGACTGCTATTCTAACAAAATCCTTTAAGCTTCTCTAATATGTTTTGATTATGAACTAACGGTGTAGTAAGTAGTGCCACCATTTTTGAACTTATATAACCACCGCCATGAGCTCTTTGACATAAGTAGATTGTGTTTGGGCTTGGGCTAATAAGGCCCGACTGAAAAGACAATTGGTTGGCTTTCTTGCATAAGGGCAATCCCCAACCCAGTCCCTGAAGCATCACATTCCAATACAAACATTTTGTTGAAGTCCGGTAGGGCCATGGCTGGAAGTGATGATACCGCCTTCTTAAGCTCTTCAAATGCTTGACGAGCCTGACAAGTCCACCCAAATGAATCTTTCTTCAAAAGCCTGGTAAGCAAGGCCACCAATAGTTCATAGTGGTGAATAAACCTCCTGGCTCCTATAATATGCAGTTAGGCCCAAAAAGCCCCTCAACCTCTTAATGAATCTAGGTTGAGGCAATTCTAGCATGTAGGTTATCTTCAAAGGATCACCCATTACTCTTCCACCAGCAACAATATGGCTCAAATAGTACACTAGAGTCCAACCAAAAGTGAACTTAGAAAGTTTGGCATATAATTGTTGTTGCCCCAATGTGTGTTGAAGGTGAGAACCGCAATCTTTGCTATATGTCAGAATATCATCAAAGAATGCCGATATAAATTGCCTCAAGTAGGGACAAAAGTTGTCATTCATGATAGCTTGGAATGTGGTGTCGAGAGATATATTGTATTTGGTTGTATTTGAGCTTTTGGAGGTTACAAGGGGTATATTTGTAGTGCTGATAAGTTTTGGGGACTTGTATGTATCTATGAGAGGAAGAGGGGCCTATGTGAAATTCTGGTATAATTTGGCATTTTGCTTATTTAAGCCATTAGTTGTGTGGGATTAGGGTTGAGTGATAGTGGATATCCTGTTGTGAGTCTAAGAGATCAGCCACGTATTTCTTGTTCTCATAGTGGAAACTTTTTCCTCTCTTCCCGTGGATGTAGGCTACTGAGCCGAACCACGTTAGATCTTGGTGTTTTCTCCATTTCTTCTTATTTTCTTCTTGACTTGTTATTCTATTTTATGATAGTTGACATGGTATAAAAGCAGGTTGCTGATTTCTGGGTGCATCAACTGAAGATAGAGTTGTATTGATCAACCCTAACCCTTGGTCACTCTGTTCTGCAATTTCACCAAGAGAAATCCTCTTACAACTCTCTTGGAAGGCTTCTGCTGGAAGTGGAACTTCATTGGTTGTGTCGCCCAGGCCAGTTTTACTCACTCAGAAAATCTCTGAGATTAAACAAGTTTTTGGAGTTCTAATCTTCTCTCCAGGGCAGCAGCAGGTTTCTTCTTCCTTCTTTGGATGTTTCATTTCCAAGTACGTATGCAAGCTTCAAGCACTCCATTTCTGGCTGGCTATTACTCCAGATTGAGGAGTTTGCAGTCAGTCCTGGAGGGTATTTAATACTCTCCTCAGTTCAACAGTCCTTAAACACTTGGGTTTGGACTGTCAAAACAGCATACAACTTGGTTGGTGTTGCTCTCGGTAATTTCTTTAAGGATTTCAATTCCTCAAAAAGGTGGCTTATCTCTGCTACTTGTCTGACTGAAGTTATTTGATCATATATATCTTCTGGGCCAGATTTCATTGTTTTTATCTGCATTGCTTACTTCAGCCTTGCTGTTAAGATCTTTTTTTTTTTTTTGAAAAAGTTCTGTGTTTGGTTTCTGTGATACTACTTTCAGTATTTAAATTGCTGCTATTCCAAGTTGTGTTGAGGTAGTAGCCAACTACTAGGAAATCTCTTCGTGTAGTATTCGACTGCTAAGAACAGGATACTGATAGTAGTCAACTACTACGAAATTTCCTTGTGTAGTAGTCAACTACCAGGAATAGAATACTGATAGTAGTTGCCTACTACAAAATCTCTTAGTAGTCAACTACTAGCAATAGGGTATTGTTTTCGGACCAACAAACTAGTATAGTGGTTAACAACTTTGAAATATAAATATTATAGAAGCTCTGCAACTTCTTTGGTCTATTTATGATTATCAATATCAGCATGTGATACTAGAGCTCCAGATGACTATTTGGAG